AWTWMCYTTTATTATGTTAGCATTCACAATATCATTAAGACGAAGACGATAATACGAGTAGATACACGCCATGTTGTATATTCTGTTTTTCATTTCATAACCGGTTCCGTTCCGACGGTAAAATATCTGCTAACACATCGTCATAGCTCACCGAGAGAATAATATTGTACTTTTGTGCTCGTTTTGGCGTGCGGAGCGCGCACAGGGGTCTTCCCCGAACAAAATTGCGGGTGGTCTACAAAGGAATATGATTTGATTTGAACTATCCGGGACATCATTGTTGTCGTACATTTCACACCATATTATCATTTAAACAAAGTATAGAATATTATAATTGTATATCATATTATATTATTCACTGTACTCGTAGTTATACCACTTTCGCCATTATACWAAAGTATTTATTTTATCTCAACCTTTCTCAATAATTTTATGAATAAAAAAATAACTCATTATAAATTAACGTGTCTATCGATATTTTATGACATGGAATGACACTTTTGATTTTACGGCACTATAAATATTGTATAAACGAATGGTTTATTACCTTTACCGATCACACAATACCTACTGTTCAACCCCTGCCTCTTTTCTATACAATACTAAAGGCGAGTGTTGTTATAGTAGCCTCCGAATTCTACCACCCTCGTCCATGAATGACGACTGCGGTGATCTACAGGCCCTATATTTTTTATATCAACTATACCTACAGTAGACTTTTTAGTACAATACCAAAACACGTGTGCTACTTCACCTTTTTTGTACAAATATATTTTACAATTTTATCAATTAAAGTATTATATTATTATTATTATATTAAAATATGTTATGCTATTAATTTTGTTAATTAGTCTACTTGTCTAATATAGAATTTTGTGTTACTTATACTGGCTATACCCCTAAATCGTGAGTTATGCAACAACAATTCTTCAATTCAAAAATATGTTCTCAATTAAAAAACAATTCTTTTAAAATATCTGGACCAAAGCTGACGGTATATTCGTATATAAAGTTGATATCGCCATATTTTGTTTCAACGGTTTAAAATAATATGTTGAAATTACAAATATTTAAATATTTAATAGAAAATTACTGGATTTATTATTATCGTTATGGGTATTCGGTCTTTAGTGGTGATTAATTTCTATTTCTAAGTAGGCGGAAAGAATTATGAAATAATTTAGTGACATTATGATTAAATTAATGTATATATTTATTAATAAAGTGGAACAAAAACAAAAAAAACCTGATAAAGGAGAATTCATCCTTTTCACAATCGTCTTATTACAGAGAACCGATAGATATACCTAGGATAGGGTGTACGAATCTGTTTTACTATAGGTATTCTAATCTTTGTAGACTAGTCGGGTAGGTATAATTATAGAGATTGTTCAACATCACATGCATCGCCAYAGCAACCGAATTGCACGTGATTACAGCTTTTATTAGCAGCAAATTTTTCTTCTTTTCCCCTATTCTTTGACACAAGTAATAGCTGTTGTTATTTCTAAAGCTTATGTATTCAATTTTTTATTTGACAAAACGATAGGTTCCATTCGCCTGTATATTGTATCTATCTCTTATTTATTTAATAATTACATAAGTATATATGGGATTGTCTCAAATTATGTGTAACAATATATTTTAATATCGTTTTGAACATTGAACGTTTTCCGATATTTCAAAACTGAAAATAACATATATGCCCCGTTGTGAATTCATACTGAAAATTAAATATATTTTAAGTGTACAATTTTAAATATAAGAAAAAAAATAATTGTACAGCAGTATAAGCGAACATAATATTATTTTTTTGATTATCACGTAAAATATCCATATAATTATAAAGTTTTATTATTATGTTCTCGTGTTATTATCTATACGGCATATAATAAACAATAATAACATAATAGTATACAAAAATGTGATAGCGATTTGTTGGTGTCAAATGTATTCAAACGAAATTAATTAAAACTACTATTACTGTTTGATAACGCGTAGAGAAGTACGAGATTGTAACATTGAACCCAGCTGGCGATTAAGCGCCGCCGGGCGTTTGTGGGCGAGGGACGCGTCAAAATGGCCGAACGCCTCCGCCCGTACCCTGCGCGCGCGTCCGATTTATCCCGCCCAACTTTTCGTGCGCGTACAAAAACGGAATACGGGTGGCCCCGCCGGACACGCGTATTTTTCGTATAATATGCGCCGCTGAATCGTTGGCGGTGGTTGCGCTGTATTTTTTTATTGTTTTTCTTTAAAAAAAAAAAAAAGTTCAGTATTAGCGGGTTGCCGCAATGATGTCTCCTTCAGATCGGCATAATGTATTATAAATATTATTATGAACCTTCAATATTTACACGCGACGATTCGCGACCGTATTCAATAAATACACCGCACAGAAAATTAGAGTTTCCGCGTACAAGTCGAAATAATGAGATTTAGAGGTACAATACGTACATTTTAGTACATAATAATAATAATAATAATAATATAATAATATTGTAATGATCGCCGTCACACACGCGGGATTCGGGAACGGTCGGAGGCAATTAGTCACGGCCGGGTATTTGTGCGCGTCTGTGTGTGTTGGCTCGTTTGCGTGCGTGCGCACCAGCTAGTGAGTGCTCATAGCGCAACGTAATGATGTGCGGTGTACGCTGGCCATGCTGGGCCACGGGGGACGGTGGGGGATCGGGTTGAAAATACATAATAATAATAATAGCATTTAATTTTACTTTTATAATATAACTACATATTTTATGAAATATTATTATCATTTGAATCAGAACATTTTAACTCGGCCCGAACACACGCACACTTATTTATCCACATACATAACTAAAAACTATAATATTTTTATACGTGGAGCACGTTATTTTAATATTATTATTTAGCGTATAAGACACAAACTATAATATAGTGACCGTATACAAGAGACTTGGACTATTGCTGAAGGAAAAAATAATTAAATTATTCAATWTAATATTATATCACACTGTACGCATACGCCACAGACTGCAGCATAAAACTTGAGTATATTACTTTTTGTTAAATAATTTAATGTTTGAGTTGTACAGAAATTATTGTAAAGATAAWAAATCTCAAATTTCAAGCGATGCGTAATAACCGTTGAAAATTCAATTTTTCTTTAAAAATGGCACTATCAACCCAATCAGTTGAACAGCCTCGTCCCTCGATGCATATTATTATAATACATACAGTGCGATTCTCTTTGAGATGTGTGTGCACAATGCACAATATCTCGCCGTTTAAAACGTGTATAATATGAAAACGGTTGCAACAGCTGGTCGCGTTGTAAACACCGCGTGTTTGATGTCGCATTTATTGCTGCAGGTACTTACTCACCTAACCTACCTTGTAATCATAGTCGAGTTTGTGTCCTTCATCGATTTTTTAACTGTGCCACATCGCATCGAGATAGTTATTATACATGTGGGCTGTGGCCAACCCTAATATTTTATAAAAAAAAAAAAAAAAATTAAGGCTTCAAAATCAAATCTATATACCTATTATTATAATTATATAATATTTGATAAAAAACGTTAAATAAGAAAATAGTTAGCTTCATTGGCCCTTGATATCAGCTGAACCTCCTACAGTCCACCATTGGATAATGTTTTTCATGCTTATCAGTTTTATTATTCAAAGTTATAGCTATATATTATTAATTATAATCGACAATCAATATATTTGTATTTTGCACTCAAATTGTGTACTTCCTACCTATATATAAGAATATAGGTACTATTGGCTATATTCACTGTTATAATGTTTTTCCTTATATATAACTTGCAACTATTTAATTTATCTTATAATTGATATTTTTTTTTGCAACCTATTATTCTGCGAGATCTATACTTATTTATTATTATTAATATATAGCTGATAATGTTATGAATTTTCATTTTTTATTTTATGATTTTTCCTATGCATATATAGGGACTATAAACGAAGAGTATGCTTTATATTTCATATAGTAACTTGTGATGTCGCACAAAGAGTTCAAGGTTATACTGTGGTAGCAGTTCAAGGCCTTCTCAAACACATATGTTTCATATGCACTATACATGTATGATATAGGTATAGCAAAATAAGCGTATTTAATAATATTATATAAACTTATGCCTATATAATATACTCACATGTGTGCTATATAAATTGTAGGTTATGAATGCTATGATGTTTTTTTGTATTGTAAACGGAAAATAAAACTTATTTTTACGTGGATTTGTGTACAATTTGATAACTGATGCGTTTTATTATTTTTTGTATTGAATAACAATCCATACACACAGAAAACGTTAAGAATATAATTTATAAATATGATACCTCGAGTTTTTTAGGATAACTTACAGTTTTGTATTGTTCGTTTTTACTATCGAAACTATATTATAATATCAATATTGTTTAAAAAAAACTAACTCTTTGTATTTTGGTATAATACAAGCCCAAATACTACAATATTTTTTTAAGTTTTTTTTTCATATAATACGATTAAATATAAATTAGATATACTTTTTAGCTCTTCAATACCTACAGTAAATTTCGCAATACCGGTATTTATAGAAAAATAATATTATGTACCTATATAAACAATTTTACAGAATTTAGTTTTTATAAATTATGGGTTCATCCTAATTCTAACAGTTTATTCTCACATATTTGATGTTATATACCTATAAGTATATGTATTGTTTTCAAATGATAGAAAATTCGTCAAATCTATACATATCAATATAGTATATTGTAT